AACCCCATATACCCTATATTCTATCTACTTAAGGGAGACTATAACCCCCCATCCCAGAAGGACACCGTCACTTTGACAACTACCCGTCTGAGAGCAACTGCAAGATGTCAACATGGTGAAGCCGCTCTGCAACCGTGCGGGCCGTCGTGCCATTGGGCTGCTGCAAGTCTCCTGGGTTGCTGTGTAATGTAGGGGCCCCAATGTTACCAATATAGTGAACTTTTTGGGGGTGCTCTAGGGGACATAGAGGGTTGAAGCTATGGGGTTTAGGTGCCAAAATGGGAATTAATTGCACAAGATAATGGAAAGCTGAAGGGAAACCCTGACTGGATCCGAAAGGTTTATGGCTTAAAGTCCTAAACCCTGAACCCTAAAACCCTAGACTGTCTTAGACCCTCATGGAAATCCAGTTTCGGTCAGCACCGGCTGCCAGAAGCAGACGTACAATGTCCTGAGACCGATGAAGAGTTGCCCTCATGAGGGCTGTGGCGCCATGCCTGGGTTTGGGGATCTAGGGTTTAGGGTTTATAAGGGCCTAGGGACTTAGGCATCGGGGTTTTGGGGTTTAGGGTTTGAGGTTTAAGGCTGGGGATTTAAGATGAAGTGAGAAATTCTGCCGAATGGCTTCTTGTAACCCTACGCCTTGAAACCAAAGCTGACAGCGCAAGATGCAAAGGATGATCCCCATATGAATCCTAGTCTAAACTCCTTAAAGTCGGGTATACAAGCGTTAGATAGGGGACCACTATAGGGGATATTAAGGGGGATGCTAGGAGTTAAGACTTTGGCTCATATGAGCTTAAGCCTAAACTCCTCAAAGGGGGTTAAACAGGGGATTATATACTAGACTATTATAGGGGTCATTCAGGGGAATACCAGGAGTTTAGACTATAGCTCATATTACTTGATTCTTATGATAACCATTTTACGGGTGTAGGGTGTAGCCATTTCCCTGAACCCTCCTCCCGACAGTCCTTCTTACCCTGACAACCAGAATCAGGTATAGCATAGGTAACTTGGTAAGTGGGCATCTAGGAACAGGAGAGAGGCTAGGACAAGCCGCAAATACGTCCACAGGCTGTGGGATTTAGGGCTGAAGCCCTAAATTCAAAACCCAAGACCCTAACCCCTAAACTTTAAATCCTAAACCCTGAAACCTCAATTCTTCAACTCTCTAAACTTAACATCGCCACCCCCGGAGCAGTAAAGACTGATACCCCACACTCTAAGCTTAAGGGTTTAGGGCTTGGGGTTTGGGTTTGGGGAAAGCCCATTCCTCAGGAAATAGCTGTGCATCCTTATCAACCTCCCAAGCATCATGTTTTCAATTCAACACCATCTGTCGTTGAAGATATTCCTAAACCCAAAACCAAAACCCTAT